TTCATTTAACACACAGAACCTCCCCCCCACCCCCCCTACCCCCGCCCCAGGTATCTTATGCTCAATTAACAGATGAGAAAACTGAGGCTCAGAGTGAAACATCAGCAGCCCAAGGTTTGAGAAAGTTCTCCAAGCGGCATTCAGAGCCAGGTGGGGGGCCTCTAACAACATCCTGTCTGGCTGGGAGAGGGCGGGGCAGGGAGGGTCCCTTCACACCTGGCTCCAACAGCAAGGTGTCAGTGGCACCTTTCCCACATCGAGCGCTAACCCATTTGGCTGAGAAACTGAGATTGCAGAGGTATTGGTCAAGTTCTCCCCTTAACCCATCTGCTTCGCTGATGAACGAAGACATTTTTCTGCCAAACATGTCAGAGAGCCCGGCCCCGGAACTCTCGAGCTAGAAGTCCTAAGACTCGGGGTCTACAGTCTGAAGTGGACAGAAGCCCAGTCTCCCAAGAGCTGGTCAAGAAGGCAGAGGGGCAGTGAGAAGGGCACTCACCGGTGTGGGTCCGGACGTGGCCCTGCAGCAGCCAGGGCCTGGAGAAGGCCTTCCCGCAGGTGCCGCAGACGCAGGGCAGGGTGTGGCTTCGGATGTGCATCTTGAGGGCACCCAGGCTGACGTATTCCTTGTTGCAGTATTTGCAGTTGAAGGCCTTGCGAGACTGGGGGTCCTTGGCCCCTGAGAGCCCGGACAGCTGCTTGGGCAATGGGCCCAAGCCCGGGAAGGCAGCGTAACCGTCGGCCTCCAGGGAAGAGGCTGAGGTGGAGGAGAAGGAGGACGGGGCTGGCGAGGGCGGGCTGGGCGGCTGGGAGCCTTTCCCACTGTCCTCGTCCGACAGCGAGGTCAGCTCAACCACCTTGGGGATCTCCCGGGGTAGAAGGGAGGCCCAGCCAACCGGCTGGGCTTGTGGTGCCAGGAGAGAGTCCCAGATGAGCGTGGGCAGCGAGGCCGTGGGGTTGAGGACCTCCGGGGGCGGGATGGCCGCCAGCAGGTGGGCCTGGTCATAGGGCTGCTGGAAGGTGAACTCTGTGAAGGGACGGAGACAAAGGTAGGGTCGGGCATTAGATCAGTCAGTCGGTCAACAAACATCCGCCCGCTAGGGGCCAGAGGTAGAATGGGGCTGACACGTAATACTTTAGGTTCCTGCCTCACCCAGGTCCTGGTTCTCCCACCTCCGCCTCCACATCTTAAAAAGGATCCCCTTTCCCAGCCCCAACTCATGGGGGCAATTCCTTCTGGAATTCCCAGCACCCCAACCACCCCAGCTGAGGCACCACCCATGTCCCACTCCCTCTCCCCATACACATCCCCCCGCGCCCCCCCCCCCGTCCCCTTTCTCCCCAAATCTTCTGGATTCCGGACTCTCCCCAGCCATGGCCAGTGTCTCTCCCTAAGAAGTGGCTCTCATTTCTCACTTGCCGGCTTCCTCTGCTTCTTGGCAGCTAGGACCTGCCCTCAAACCCAGATCGTCGCCCTCGGAAGGCCCTCCCCCACCCGCCCGGATCCACCTGCCGCGGTCTCCGCATGCCCCTGGCCTCGCAGGTCCCCGCGCCGACTCCTTTGACTCGCTCATGGCCCCTCGTCCTTTCCCCCAGGTCCACCCCCCTAAAACGCCCCCCAACTCCCCCCCAACGGGGCCTCCCTTCACTCACCTGGAGAAGAGTCGTGCAGCTCGCTGTAGTTGGGCCTCCGGCGGGTGCAGGCAGACTTCCTGACGAGGAAAGAGCGCGGCATGGTGGCCGAAGCAAGCCGGGGTCACCGGGCCGCGCTGGCGTCGTAAGGACCCTCCCCCGCGAGGCCGAGACGCTGCGCTGTGAGCAGAACGAAGCCACCAACTCCTTTAAGTACTCCAGCCGCGGGGCGGGGCCACGATAGCCCCCGCCCCCTTTGTCACCTCAGAGC